TATTTTAATATATCATACATAAAAAGTGATACAAATATAGAAGTTATTAAATTTTGAAATATATTATTGATATCCGGATTAACCTGGTCGGGGACGTACTGTTCAAACAACAAGTGACCGGAGGAAGACGACCTCTCAATTCGTACCGGACAGTGGGTCGATGTGAAGCGCCGAGCTGAGCGAAGAGAAAGGTCAGCCAGGATGACCGTCAACACATTCGGTCAGCCAGGATGACCGTCAACACATTCTCCGAGGCCGGCATCCTGACCATCCAGTTGTAATGCCGACCTCCGCGGACGCCGAACAAATAAATAGGTTCCCGAGAGATGCGGACCAGTAAGTGTCGATAGTCTGACCTGAAGATTCCCTAGGGTCGGCTCCCGCGCGAACGCAGGGCCCGAAAATTATATAATATTTCCACTTAGCAGCTAATGATTGCCAATGCGACTAGTCACCCTAGTCTACCATCCTATGGTATTTGCTAACCCGACAGAAAGGCCTGTCAACATTTAATGCCTCATGTGTGCACTAAATGTCTGTCAGGTAATGATCAAAAGTCTCAAATCGCATTTAATATCTGTCAGAGAAGCGCCGACCTGCATGTCAGAGTTACTGTGCGACAAGACGGATGAATACTGTTTGAATAGTGTCAAATTAAGGTTATTATAAATAGGACACCCATTACATTTATGAGGAGTTGTTGAACATGCCAACTACTACTTTCTCTCTCTAAAAATTGTAATAAATCCCCGTGAATACTCTCAAGTGTAACTAAAGTATTGACCTCACGATCAGAGGTCGACCTCGTAATTAAGTAATAAAATTCCATTTTCTCATATATCTTTATTATCTTTGCCTTTCAAATTCTTTAAACTTTATTTTAACAATTGATCGAATCCGTCCATCTATATATATTTTAATTTAGACAAGTGTTTAATTATAAAAGTTTCGATACATTTGAATAAATGTACAGATCTATATAGATTACTGTGGATCGTCATAATTTATCACAATGAATTATAAAGAACTGAAAATTGACAATTAATTTTGAAAAAAAGTTACATTTATATGTAACATGAGATTCATGAGGAGTTTTTTTAGTAAAATGACTTAAACTAAAATGATGACATTTTAAACCTTTCCTAATAATAAACTATATTGTAAAATAGCTTGTTTACAACTGATTGCAAAAAAAAAAGTGAAGGATAAGAGGTTGTAAAAAGTTGTTGTTTTTTTTTTAAAAAAAAATAATAATAAAAATGTGAAACCAAATAACAAAACCTAATGCCATGTTTCATTTTTTAGCATTGAATTTAATAGAGAACCATCAAGACCCCATTGCTTCAATTATTATTCAAATGATAATATAGGTACTTGTTTATTAATTTAATTAATAATATAAGTACTTTGTATAATATTGCTGAAAATTTCATTAACTATATTTATGCTTATATAAATTAAGCCTTCAAGATTTTGCCCTTAAAAGTTTGGTGAACTGGTCTGAGTGGTTAGGTCGAGATTGACTGATTCAAGAGAGTTTTTGCTCACTGTTGAGGTTCGACTACGTTAGGGAGTTCGGTCTAGTAGCTCAAGGTAGGAGTAGACCTAAACAAAGAAGTGAGCAACCGAGCTCTTCAGAGAGTTGGGGCCTGATGAAGGGTCATTACGACCTAAAGGTCGTACAACAGAGGTCGTTTTAGCGACCTAGTAAAAGAATTGTGGCAGTTGGGTCGCTTATGCACAGTTTTACTAAATCCATGAGCGAATATAACTTGATCGTTGGAGTTTTTCCTCCGGGAACCCTCCTTGGCGTGTTTTGTGAGTCACCAGAACTTAAAGAAAATAATGGTTCATGGTGGTGTTAGTCAGAATCCGATTTAAAAGCAATTAGCGTATCAATTTGGTGTCGTCTTGGAGAAAATTTAGTACTTTACCGGCTACAAGGGACTTGGTTTTTCTCATAAATTACAGAATACCTCAAAGAAATGAGTCTAGCTTGAGAAGAAGAGGCGGTTTCGCTGGAAGACGACATCTTGGCCGGAATTTTTTAGAGGAGCAGAGCGAAGGATCTCTAAAAAAACCCCCAAAAAGTTAAAAAAGAGACGAATTTGAAGAAGAAAGCAGAGCAAATCGAGGTAAGATCATATAGCCATGGTTAATTGTTGGGAAGCTGCGAGTTGGAGAGAATGAGGAACTTGTCGAAAATTGGTGTGGATTCTGGAAATTAGAGTCGTCGTAATTGTTGATTGCTTAGGAAAGTTGTGCGCAATAAAGCTTGAGGATTTTAAAAAATGGTGAAAAGGAGGTTTTGATAACAAATGAGGGTTTTTATAAACCAAGAAAGAGGAACGACCGACCAGTCTAGCAACTACAAAAATTGAAAATAACTAACATTCTTATGAATTCGAGAAAAACACATGAGAAATAACTAATCCTTGTGAAAAGCGTCAACAAAAAAATATTATTCTTTTGTTAAGTTTGACTATTATTTATTTTTTATTCAAAAGAATAAATATAATTATTACATTATTTTATATATGCAATATGATGTCAAATTAAATATTATAAAAAATAATTAGTTTAAAATATTATTTATAAAAAATAATAGTAAATAAAATATATTTACACTGTTGATTTAAAGTTTTCACATGTTATTATTAATTGTGAAAAATATAATTTCTGATATTTTGTTTTCATGGTGATTATTTAGTAGAGGATTAACTAAAAAAAAAATTAGAAACCACAGTGTATGGATATTTATATTTTTTTGGTCATGCATGTCTATAACATGAACCACTACATTTTCATGTTATTTATTTGACATCACAAGATATTTTACTGAAAAAATATAATATTTATTTAATTGAATGATCTTAATATATTTTATGGAATGAATTTTGTAATTGTTTTTTCATCACGTGCGTGTATGAGTACCCAATGTAAATTCTATAAGAAACTATCAATTAATTTACCTTAGTAAAATGAATCTTCCAAATAAAGAAAATGAAGCAATTTATAGTGTGTTTGTACATGAAAATATTTAATTCATATTCAAAATATAATTCAATTTTAACTCAACTTTAATTTAATTTCACTATCCTCAATATTATTAATATAATTAAATAATATCAACCAATTATTTTTACACATCACATCAACTCTAATTTACTATTTATATACTCACATAATTTTAACTATTCACACTTTCACATTATTTTTCATACATTTATATCAAATTAACTTTAATTATTTTGTTTAATATTATTTTAATATAACCTTTAAATCCCACGAACAACTAACCAAACTATTTTTCTTAAAATTAATTCTAATTAATCTTAAACAGATATATTAATATACAAACACATCAATAATGGACAAATATATATTATTAGATAAACTAATAAGATGAATTTGTATTATACTATTTAAGATTTAACCTTATTTTTCACACATTAAATTTGATTAAAAAAAATAAAAAATACAGAAAGAGTTAAAACGAAAATGGCCCCTTTCGTAAATGTAAATAATTAACTGTTCTAATATTTACTAAAAAGGCCTTTAAAAAAACCCTTTTTTTTTTTCTTTGTAGAATCCCTAAAAATTTCTCTCGCTCATAGCTTACATCACCTAAATTCTACTTTGCTGCAGAAAATTTTCACTATTTATTGGTGAGTAATTTCTGATTTTTCTCTAATTTTTCCTGATTTTATCGCTTTATTGTGTGAAATTTTAGGGCTTTTTTAATTAAGTAAATGGATTTTTTATTTTTTTTCAAAAATAGTTTTTCCCCATTAGCGTTTAATTTCGAGCTTTTTTTGTTGTTTTTTGCTCGATCCCTAAGAAATCCTGCGAGCCCTCCTGAATTTTCGAGATTTTACAACAAAAAATTAATTTATTTTAATTGTTTTCATCTCCTCTTGTAATTTTGCTGTTACTGATTTTTATTTTGTTTTCAAGACTCAGCTTTTGAATTTTCGCAAGTTTTTTTTTTTTTTTCAGTTC